TTCGCGCTCGCCTGATGGAAAAGTAAGGTTTTATGTATATCGTGATCTGCCATCATTTCATATCTTAAACGAAGTTAAGTTAAGTTAGGCCGATGAGCAAATGCATCAATTGGTAGCACGTCCTGTACTGTTCAATGATACGCTATAATAATTAGGGAGTATTTCTGGCGACATGTTCACTAAGAGTAGATTATCGCCGGTGCGCGCATGTATGTGTGAGTGCCTGCAACTGCGTGCGCATGTTATGTGTGTTTGCGTGCCTGCCGTGACTGGTTCGATGTATGTGTGTATGGTGGCTGCGATAAAGCCGGTGCCGTGCGCACTGTATGTGTGCGGCATGTGTACCAAGGCAGTCAGGCGCTGTGTGGCAATGTATACGGGCAAGTACAGCGAACGAGAAAATAAAAGCAAAAACGCCACAGTAGAGCAATTATGCATACCGAGACTGATATTCATTAAATCAGATGATGCTTAAATAATGATTGATGCAGATGATGATGTAGTAGATATTCCGGTGAATGAATGACATCGTTCCTCGGTCGTGCATGTAGTTGCTATCATTGTGCCAGCCCGATTCGTTGAGAGCAACCGCCATCATGCTATCTGACCCACACACACGACACACGATAGAGAGATTCAAAAGACTAGACAGTGTTTGACCTGCAGTAACATTTCTGCCTTTATTCGATCTTCAAAAACCACAACACTTTTATAGACTTTTGTAGATATTCTAGTTTAAACACACTACAGATAGTTAAGACTTGGAAACTTTACACACCAAAGCCTCGTAACAAGGTGAGTGTGAAGCGACTGTCACGCCCCCCCCATGCCCGACCCCGTCACGTGGTCGTGCGGCGCCCCTGGGGGTTGTAGCTGAGCCTAGGGCAGCTGGGGGGGTGAGTGTGTAGCGACTGTCGCTCCACAGCGTCTTGAGCCGCTCCAGGCCGCCGCCCCGACACGCGCGCGCACCCCGCACGCCGGCGCGCTCTATCACCATACGTCCCGTGACGGGGAAACGCCGGCGGCTGCCACTGCGCGCAGCCGCGACGCCTGCCCAGCGGGCGCCCCCTGGTAGAGCCAGCAGCTCGCACGCTCGGTCGACGACCAACGATTGTTTGTCCTTGCCGTACGTGTCGAGGACGAGACGCTTGTAGGCGAGCAGCGGGTCCGGCGGCGCCCCCTGCTGGTCAACACCCACGCCAGGCTCCCCCTGGTGGTCGTCACCTAGTGCCCCATGGTGGTCGTCAAGAGCAACACCTGGTGCCACCTGCTGGATGTCAGTGTGGCAACGGCGCCACCTGCGTGCGTCGCCGGGGCTTCCCCTAGGCGTGGACATCGGCGGCCGCACCTGTCGTGGTCGACGGCGTGACATCGGGCGCCACCTGGTGGTCGTCTCGGTGAGTGACGATAAACAGACAGAGTTTGCGTTCTTCATTAGAAACCTTCAATCTCGCGTCCAATGCAAACACCTGTAACGAGAGAGAGAACACACCTGTATCAAGTACGGGTGCAAACACGTGTAACGAGAGAGAGAACACACCTGTATCAGGTACGTGTGCAACAACACCCTGTAACAATGAGATGAGATACACACTGTATTCAAAGGTACGGGTGCAAACACGTGTAACGAGAGAGAGAACACACCTGTATCATGTACGTGTGCAAACACGTGTAACGAGAGCGAGAGAGAGAGAACACACCTGGTATCAGCGATCAGTGCTGCAAACCACCTGTAACGAGTAGAGCAGAACACACCTGCTATCAGGCACGTGTGCAAAACACGTGTAACTGAGAGTGAGAAGAAGAGAGAGAGTTAGAACATCGAGGCCTGTGTAGAGCGTAGATACGTACGTAGTATTGCAGGTAGATACGGTACCTGTATCAGGTAGATACGTACCTGTATGAGGTAGATACGTACCTGTATCAGGTAGATACGTACCTGTATGAGGTAGACACGTACCTGTATCAGGTAGATACGTCCCTGTATGAGGGGTTAGATACGTACCTGTAATGACGGTAGATACGTACCTGTATGAGGTAGATACCTGTATCAGTAGATACGTACCTGTATGAGGTAGATACGTACCTGTATGAGGGTAGTCACGTACCTGTATGAGGTAGATACCTGTATCAGGGTAGATACGTACCTGTATCAGGTAGATACGTACCTGTATCAGTGATAGATACGTACCTGTATCAGCGGGGGTAGATTTTTTACGTACCTTGTATCAGGTAGATACTTTACCTGTACCGGTAGATACGCTACCTGTATCAGGTAGATACGTCCCTGTAGTGAGATAGAATACGTACCTGATATGAGTTAGTTACATATCCTGCTATGAGGGTAGATACGTACCTGGCACAGTAGATACGTACCTGTAATTGCAGGCTAGCATAGACCTGTATGAGGTAGTCACGGTACCTGTATGAGCGTTAAATTACCCGTGTACCAGGTAGTACCTGGTATTCAGGTAGATAATACCTGTATGGACGGCTAGCATACGTACCTGTATCAGGTAGATACGTACCTGTATCAGGTAGATACCTGTATGAGGTAGATACGTACCTGTATGAGGTAGATACGTACCTGTATCAGGTAGATACGTACCTGCTCTATGTTGTGCAGCAGGGCGGCAATGAGAGTCATGGCCTTCAGCTGTAGTGACCGGCACGCTGCCACACACGCTCCAGCTCTGGGTAGGTTGAGCTCACTCGGCATGCCTGCATCACGTGTTAATCACTAATTAATGTATTAATTACATCACATCATACATCGTCACGCGCGCTGCCACACACGCTCCAGCTCTGCTAGGTTGAGCTCACTCGGTATGCCTGCATCACGTGTTAATCACTAATTAATGTATTAATTACATCTCATGTCGTCATGCACGCTGCCACACACCTGGCCAGCTCTCCTAGGTTAAGCTCTAACTGGCATGTCCTGCATCATGTGTTAATTTCACTAATTAATGTATTACATAAGTCACATCATCAGCGCGCGCTTGCCACACAGTCTAGTAGTGACTAATATATTATTATCGTCCACATTACGGGTTAGCAGCCAGTAGACACGTAGTAATGATCGGGATCACAGCATGGTAAATTAAACACAGTATCATTGCTTCACAGTCCATAGCAACTGTATCATCTATTATTGTCATGACTATGAAGCAACTTCTTATGTGGCTTTGAAGAGTCCCTGAACCAAACACGTTTGTTCAGCTGTGTTTACCTGTGTGTGTTCGGACCTTAGCAACAGAACAGTACGTATGTGATTCAAGCTATGAAAAACCCTAATGTGTTTTTCACGCATCATTGAAAACCCGACTGTGTAGCTACTGAATAGCGTACCCTATGTGTTCTCAGCTATGAACCGATCGTTACCTATGTGTTTCTCGAGCTCTAATGAAACGCACCATAGCCTATGTGTTCTCAGCTCCGGATCGCGACATGCTACCTATGTGTTCAGCGATTTCCTAGTTGGCAGGCATCGTGGTTAAGGATAGGACCAGCGAAGCGTCCGCTGGCAAATCTTTCTCAGTTCCATCCAGATCCTCTCCCCGGAATATTCCTGCAGCACAGCAAGGCTCACACAATATAATGCTTGCTCACCGGTTTGCCGTTCACCCTTCCTCCCCCAACTCCCCCTTCCCTCTCCACCGCCCTCCCTTCTCCTCATCCCTCACCTACTCCCTCCTCTCCCCAGCATATCATCCAGGCAAAGCAACACACCACACTATCAAATCTTCTCATTCGGTTGGCACTACAACTGTTGCAACACTAAGCTTTCTTCTCCCCCGTTCTCCTCCACTTCGCTGTTCTCCTCCCGCCTCTTCCCGTTCCCTCTTCACGCCCTGCCTCTCCCGCTCCCTAGGTATTCGCTACAGCATTAAGTTCATGTTCACAGCAGTGATCATCAGTTGGTGATAGCTCTAACCCGAGAAGCGAGCCCACGCCAGTCAAGCCCATTGCATAGGCAGGATTATACGTGTGGGAATTCATTTCCCCTTTCGCGCGCATACCACGAAACAATTCCATAAATTAGGCAGATCTTTTCCAGAAATCACACTGCTACCTCTGCAAGTGAACCATGAGATATGTTTGTTACCGTCGAAAATTCTCCATAGATCGTTATGTAAACAAACTTTTCACTGCCACAACACGTGCAATGGCACTTTGCAGCACGAGATTTTATGCGAAAAGAGAGGCTCCCTTTAAAATTCAGCATGACTAATGCCACCAGTAAGCGCGCTCAACGAAACGCAGAGAGAAACCTCCAGTTAGCCCGCGAACACAAGCTGTCTCCTCTTGTCTCTCATCTGCTGGCTTTACATTTGAACATGCATTGGGATGGCAGCGTGCGTGCACGAGCTGTCTGTCCTGTCGGCGCTAATGTCGTGATGTTTGACGTGCGCTGCGCAGGCGAACTGCTGGGAGGTGTGATCCCACCTTCATAGACCGGCATGCGTGCGCTGTGTATGGTGTTGTGTTGTGCATGCGTGCATTGGTTGCGTGATGTTCGAGTCGGTGTGATCCCCACCTCCTCAAGACCGTGCACTGCCGTGCGGTACGGTATGGGGTTGTGTTGTGATCGCGTGCATGGTTGCGTTGTGTTTCGTGTGGTGATCCACCCTCTCAGACCGTGCATAGCGTGCGCGTCCCGTAATGGGTTGTGTTTGTGCATTGGCGTGCATGTGTTGCGTGTGTTCGTGGTGATCCCATCTCTCAGACTGGTGCTGCCGTCGCGTGTATGGGTGTTGCGTTGTGTTGTGCGTGCGTGGTTGCGTGTGTTCGTGTGTGATCCCACCTCTCAGACTGTGCATGCTTGCGCGTGTATGGGTGTTGTGTTGTGCATGCGTGCGTGGTTGCGTGTGTTCGTGTGTGATCCCATCTCTCAGACCGTGCATGCGTGCGCGTGTATGGGTGTTGTGTTGTGCGTGCGTGGTTGCGTGTGTTCGTGTGTGATCCCACCTCTCAGACTGTGCATGCTTGCGCGTGTATGGGTGTTGTGTTGTGCATGCGTGCGTGATTGCGTGTGTTCGTGTGTGATCCCACCTCTCAGACCGTGCATGCGTGCGCGTGTATGGGTGTTGTGTTGTGCGTGCGTGGTTGCGTGTGTTCGTGTGTGATCCCACCTCTCAGACCGTGCATGCGTGCGCGTGTATGGGTGTTGTGTTGTGCGTGCATGGTTTCGTGTGTTCGTGTGTGATCCCACCTCTCAGACCGTGCATGCGTGCGCGTGTATGGGTGTTGTGTTGTGCGTGCGTGGTTTCGTGTGTTCGTGTGTGATCCCACCTCTCAGACCGTGCATGCGTGCACGTGTATGGGTGTTGCGTTGTGCATGCGTAATTGCTTGTGTGTATATGCTCCGACCACTCAGACCATGCATGCGTGCATATACACGTGTTGCGTTGTGCGTGTGTGCGTGCTTGCTCCCCCACCTTTCAGACCATGTGTGCGTGCGCGCGTGTATGTACGTATGTAGCTACCCACCTTTCAGACCGTGCATGTTTGATGGCATCCAGCATGGCCGGCTCATGTGTGCATGCGTACGTGTATGTGTGTGTATGTACCCACCTTTCAGACCGTTCATGTTGGACTTGATGGCATCCAACATGGCCGTCTCGTGCGCGCCGGGGTCCGGGCTGATCCTCCCGAAAAACCTGCCACAGCCAATCGATAAATTATAACATCACATCACGTGGTGTACACGAGTAACTCACAGTCATTGGATAGCTTCCAATGTTACATCACATTCCTGCAAGTTACGCATAACATGACGCGTCATAACATTCTGTCACTGACAGCATTGTTGGGATTGTCTCACATTGCTTTGTTGCATGTTTTAGTGTTTTACTGCCCGATTTACCAAACTAAAATTCATACATTTATCCACCAAGCCAAAAATGAATGAACTAATTTATTTATTTGTTCGTTCATACACATTTATTTATCCATTCATTCATCCATTCAGCTATCTATCCATGCATTCACTCATCCATAATTTAATTAATTAATTTATTTATTCATTTATACATTTACTTATTCATCCAACTATCCCTCCATCCATTCGTTCAATCATTCAGTCTTTATTGTGTAAACTCATACGAGTGAAACGTTTCAGCAAAACCACACCTGCGTCCAATGAACGGGTGTTGGGTTGATGAAATGGATCTAGGCGGTATTCAATGAGGGCAAATTAGGAGGAAAGAAGATATTTTCCCCTGTCAGTGCGTGTATGGCAGCGACATTAATCAGTAAACCACCTGCTACCCTTACAAAACCCACATTCAAACCTGAACAACATATCTATGTAACTATCTGGGACAGAAACGACCCGCTTCAATGCTGCATAACTGAGATCATACGCGTCACAAAGACGGCCCTGCGATCTTATAACATAGATTGTACATAATATCGTATAAACACATTATCGCTGCATCGCCAACAAACGAAACGACGTAAACAACTCGTAATTGCAGGTTATATTACACGAGGGATGACTCGCCCCATGTCGCACGCCCCCCCCCCCATGCGCCAAGCCCACGCCCCACCCCCGCACACGCCCGCTGCCGCTGTACCTGAAGTAGCGCAGGATGAATTCTGAGGTAGTCATCCTTTATGCGCCCCGCCCCCGCCTCCGCACACCACGCCCCCGCACAAGCCACGCCCCCGCACACGCACCGCCCCTGCGCACGCCCCGCCCCACCCGCCACCACCTTACCTGAAGTAGCGCAGGATTCGGAGGTAGTCCTCCTGTATGCGCGAGGCCGGGTCTCCCACGAACGCCACCCTTCTCCTCTCTAGATCCTCCCTCCCTCCGAAATAGTCGTGCAGCGTTCCATCCAAGCCTGCGGGCGCAACACAGCGGGCACACATTGAACGTAGGGCAGATGAGGTACAGTCTAAGACAGCATGCACATGTAGACACATATAACATAGGGTGAAGAGGGGTTAGCAGTCTATGACTGCATGCATGCAGGCACATATAACAAAGGGATGAGAGGGGGTAATAGTCTATGACAGCATGCATGTGGGCACATTGAACGTAGGGTAGAGACATGGTACCAGTCTATGACAGCAAGCATGTGGGCACATTGAACGTAGGGTAGAGACAGAGTTATTACTTGTCTTAACAAAGTTGAAGCGATGGTAGATGATGAAAAATTGCTCTAAAAAGTTGCTCTAAAAAGCTGCTTGTCCAGCGGACAAGCTACTGCATGGACAGGTCTACTTGTCCTCCATGGAAATGGACAAGTGAGGACAAACGGATAGCCCTTATTTCAAACACTGACTTTGCGACGTTGGCTGCTCACCGAGGAACATGGAGTTGATGGTAAGATCTCGTCTGTTCGCGTCCAGCTGCCAGTCCTGTGTGAACTCCACCTCCGCGTGTCGTCCGTCCGTCGCTCTGTCTATCCGCAGAGTCGTCACCTCAAAGTTCTGCAGATCGTTGACGCGCGTCATGATCGTGCCGTGCGTCTCGCCTGGTGACAAAAGAAACACGTCGTCACACGCTCGCGCCATGATCGTGCCATGTGTCTTGAATGGTGACAAAAGAAATACGTCGTCACACGTCACACGCGTCATGATCGTGCCGTGCGCCTCGCCTGGTGACAATAGAAACACGGCGTCACACGTCACACATGCGTCATGATCATGCCGTGAGCCTCGCCTGGTGACAAAAGAAACACATCGTCACACGTCACACGTGTCACACGTCACACATGCGTCATGATCATGCCGTGAACCTCGCCTGGTGACAAAACAAATACGTCGTCACACGTCACACGCGTGTCATGATCGTGCCGTGAACCTCACCTGGTGACAACACAAACACGTCGTCACACGTCACACACGCGTCATGATCGTGCCGTGCGCCTTGCCTGGTGACAATACACAACACAACGCATCCCTGAACTGTCACAGTTGATGTGTCACACGTGTGCGTGTGTGTGTGGTCATTCGCTCCCGCTACAGGGCTGTAAGATCCACGCATTTAATCCAGGGGCGGAACCAGAGGGTTTGGGTGACCAGTTTCCATAGTTCTAGTCACAGCTAGGGGGGTCCCTAAACAATTTTAAAAAATTAGGCTATATTTGGTGCATTCAGTTTCTGGTGAATTTTGTGGGTAAATTCTGAAGATACTCATACCGCAAACCGGCCAAAATCCGCGCCTGGCATCATTGCAGCATGGCAGTTTAGCATGCGCCTGCTCCATATAGCAGCCGACTATTTAATTTGAACGCGGCCGCCTCGCCGTGTTTTGGGTTTGTTTGCGTTCGCTAAACGACACTAACAGACAAAGATTTCGGCGAATTCTAAGTGACATCTATCGCTAGCCACCAATCGAATATGGACAGGATTTTAGATTTCAGGATTGCCTTGTTTTACATTTTCTCGTCCCGATTTCAACAGTCATGATATTAATGATGTAACAGCTGTTTGTTCACATAGGCAGACACTCTATTATTTTAGCAGTGAGTGTGACGCGATGCAACTTTTGTATCTACCAGTTAGACACATCAGTGTGAATGTGTTGTACCAGAATGCAGGGTTATGGCTATAATGTGCGAGGAATCTGGTTGTGGTCGCGCGAGCAAGCACACAAGTAAGTACAATAAGACAAATCAAGTAGGTGGGGGGGGGTTTCGTAACCCAAGGTCCACCCCTCCGTCGTCACCCTTCGTGTTGAGCATGCGTATTCCCTCCTGCTACACACACGGCAGGCTAACACAGGCTAGACGCGTCCTGTAAGGAATCATCGCTCACCCTTCGTGTTGAGCATGCGTATTCCCTCCTGCGTGAACATGTCCTTCATCTGGTCCGGTGTCGCTGTCGTCGCGAGGTCTATGTCGTCCGGAACCTGAGGAAGGAAGCAGCAAAGGTTTCACCATTAATCGCTGCTACACTGAGCATGCAGTACGTACACGGTCTACTGACACTACTGACACAAGGGCTGTCGAGGGGAAGGACCTGAGGAAGAAAGCCGCAAGGGCCAACGCTGAACATCTCAGTCACACACAGTTTACTGACATAATGACATGTCATTGACATGACATTGACCACATGTCATTGACATGACATTGACAACATGTCATTGACATGACATTGACCATATGTCAGCCGTACACAGTTGTACTGATACTACTACCGTTACCGTTGTACAATTCATCGATGTATCCATGCATCACGATATATACCTTTCAAAAACAAATAAACAACACAATTGGCAGTTCGACAACAGTTGTTTACTAAGCGCTCCACAATACTAAGTGTAAGCACTTGTTCACATCATTGGTAGAGTCCCAGTTCAGTGTATAGTTTGCAAGGTAGCCCCTCTTGAAAGTATCGCGATACGTATCGTATGTAAATGCCTGAATATCATGGTACAGACGTATTGTTAAAGGTTATCGTGAATATGTATTGCATTATAAAGGCTATATCGCGATATGTATCATATTGTAAAGGCTGTATTATGATACAGATTGTATTGTAAATGCTGTATCATGATACAGATCGTATTGTAAAGGCTGTATCGTGATATATGTATTGCATTATAAAGGCTATATCGCGATATGTATCATATTGTAAAGGCTGTATTAGATAGCAGATTGTCTGTTTAATGCTAGTATCATGAAAAGGAGATCGTATGTAAAGGCTTGTATGTGATATAATGTATTGCCATTATAAAGGCTATATCGCGATATGTATCGTATTGTAAAGGCTGTATTATGATACAGATCGTATTGTAAAGGCTGTATCGCGATATGTATCGTATTGTAAAGGCTGCATCGTGATACGGATTGTATCGTGAGCTAGCCGTATCTTCCCACCCCTACCACTCTCAAGATTAACACTACATATTTAGTGGCAACTCCTAACACTCATGGAAAAGCAATGAGTATTTCTTGAAATAATGTCATCATGGTATGGAATTAGATAGGAGTAGAATAATGGGGCATTAATGTAATTCACTTAGTATAGCTATACACATGTCCGACCATTGTCCCCTAATGGTTTCCTGTTACAAGCATTGACAGGATGACAGTGCTGCCATCTGCCGCCCACTACGCTGTGCGGCGGCACAGCTCTCAGCGCCACCTACCTTGTTACAGAGCAGGTCTCTGACAGCGCCCCCTGCAATGCGAACCTCGTAGCTGTGCTTCTGGAATATTTCCGCCAAGCAATTCAACTCTGAAACAGAACGTAAATCACGGACGATCAGCACTGTCGTGTGGAACCTCAGCTACGACTGCAAGGCTCGTGCGTAGTGATGTTACACTGCAGGAGTATGATCTTACATCTACAGCTGCCGTGAGCACATGGATGAACTGAGTGTACCTGCAGGCACATAAAGGTGACATATTGTTCCTATACGTTATTTCTAGTTGTATTACTGTAAGCAAACAACTTACAATTAATGTAAATGCATCAATAAAATAGATTAAATGCCATATACTGTTACGTTATACTGTACACACAAAGAAAAAGCTGAACACAGAGCTTGACCAGGTAGTGCCAGGTGGCTGTACTAAGAAAGCAAGAGAGAGCACATAGCACGTGTTGGTGATATATATATACTACAAAAGTGACCATAGCTCCACCTATGGGCCAAAATAGTGCAAATCTATTAACACCTAACATCTTTCCCCTTAAATACAAAATAAGATTCTTACAACTG